AAAGGATGTAAACCTATTTATATAGACACGTATAAACAACATTTTCCTTTGCTTTCTTTCTTGTAGTGTTAATTTGAACACCTTTGAATCTCTGTTCAGGATGTAAAAAGTAAATCTGTTGTCATCTTGCTAGTGATGACTAATTTTTTCACTTAAAATGACAATCTTACTATATAAAATGGTTATAATCATAGTGACAATTATGATTGCATTGGGTTAGGGTGAGATAAACACTCGCATGATAGGTCTGCATTGGAGACTGTCGCATTGTAAAATAATAAATATGATGCTGTCAGAGTTGGGCTTATTGATAATAAACAATATTATAATTATGATGATAGCAATTATAATAATGAAGATGAAAATATGGTAATAAGATGTTGATAATAAAAATAAGGATGATATTGACTATGATAATGACAGTGAACAATGAGATAATGATCTTGATTATGATATCCTGATAGTGATTATGCTAGTGATTTTTTTTTCTATAGTTAGCAAACCTAAATTTTAGTTGATTCTTTTCCTCCGTTCTGACAATATTTAAATTAAAATAAGTACTTAGGAAAAATACATGAGGCATGAAAATAATGTAACATGTTTAGTATATAGTACATTCTTATTGCTTCCGTGCCTACTATTGTTCTGCTAGCGCCGGAATCGTTTCACATTCCCTTATCAAGCAATCTTGGCAAGCATGTCTAATGTTTTTTTATTCCACAAGTCTTCTTGGGATTGAGTAAATATTGGCATTTAAGAATCTGCAATTAACCTTGAAAGAGATCAGTGATGAATGAACTGTTTACATCACAACAATGCCCGGATAATCGTAATTGACATCAGATACATCAATTTAGAGAACAAACTTTTTACGAGTTGTTCGATGACGACAACCCTGATGACATTATTGCCTATTAATTTATTCAGGCTGAGGGGAGGTGGGGGGGGGGGTACTGTAGGCAAACTTTTGAGACTTCAGTACTGAAAAATTATATATGAAAAAAAGCAATGTGTCTACATACGTCAATGTTGTCTAGAGACTGCCAATAAAGAATTGATTATTGTAATACAAAGTAAACAATAACAGGAATTAAATGACGTCCATTTCTGTATAATCATAAAACTATAATGAGTTTACACCTTAAAATAGCTCAGCAATTACAATTACCTCTACATTATGATGTTAATTTAAATGATTATTCAAATAATTAAACAAAACATAAACGTCTAATTATTAATCAGGCATCACGTTCCACATCCACCAACTGCCCAGACGGGCAAAGCCAGCCCGCAGTCAAGATTTTAGTAAAGAACATTATTACTGATTTAAAACTGCCAGCGGTGCATACGGAGCCTGTGATGTGGACAAAGCACACAATATGCGTGAACTTATAAAAACATTCTTGGTTCTTATTGTTACCCATAGCTTACAATTTCAGAGGCCTAATAAGGTAAATTATATTAGAAACATAATCATTCATCTCAACTGTGGGGCCCATGGTCTGTACAATACAGCATTCCAAAGAAAGAAAAATCTAGCCAGCGGGCACCGCAGGCTGATTTTACCCGCAATTTGCCTGCAGGCACCGCATCCAGAAGAGTGCACTGTCCACGATTGGTCTTGTAGTTTTGTTTAGGTGAATATGGTATTATTACTATTAGTTTTATGCAAGTCGAGTGGAAAAGCATAAAGCAGGCATGCTGCCAGTGGCGTACCTAGGGGAGGGTGTGGGAGTAGGAGATGGGGTCTCCCAAAAAAACTTGCACAAACCTAGTTTCCCGCCCCCATTAGCCTCCGTTAAAATTGTTTCGAAGTATCACCTCATATCACCTTATTTTGGTAGCTAGCACCCTCTCACATAATCAACGCCCCATTTCACATTCACACCCCATCAGCCCCTCCCCCATTTCAAGATACGAACTGTCTGTCGCTAATTACAGCCTTTGGCCCTAGTCTGAGATCCAACTCTCCCAGCATTCAGTTCATGGAATCAAGACTTAAAACTGAATGTCCAGTGTACACATCTAGCACATGTGCACTTAAAGAAACCATTTAAATCTTGTTAGAAATAAAAATACAAGTTGACAAAGTAATGTACATATATTGTGGCAAGTAAAATTTGGTACTGAGCATGGATAAAATTGATATATTGCTAAATATACAAATGTCACAAGCCACTAATATATTAGTAGGTCATAGCAAATAAAATCTTGCTATCATAAAAAGGTATGGATCTTGCTACAAATAAGAATTACCATAAGGAGTCAATGAAATCATAATATATTGATGATGGCAGTGAAGTAATATCTTGCTACAAATAAAAATACAAGAAGCAGTCATTGTAATGAATACAGACTGTGGCAAGCAATATTGACATAGTATGGGTAATTGACAATACTCAAATTTTCTGAATAAGCTACAGGCAAGGAAGATGTGGAACGGCGCCTTTCGTGTTATTTGTTGAGAACATCGGCTGTTCTATTTACTGGCACGATGATTTATTAATGCTTTGATTTGAGATTCAATAGCAAATTTGATTTACGGTCCTGTATTATGTGTTTATCGACCTTCTCACAGTTTATCCAACAGGACAGTAGATGTCGATGTATTTTAATTAAAGTCGCTGTTCATTGATCATAGGACCACTTTTTTTTATACTTTTGTGAAAAGTACAGTATAACCATTAACAAACTAACAAATTTAATCAGGAAAGTTTATAAGGGCCATATATTCAAGAGAGGAGTATATTTGAAAAAGGTGGTTTTTTTTTGGTGTAAAATG